CCACCTCCACCTCCACCGCCGCCAACACCACCACCTCCACCGCCACCACCACCACCGCCGCCGCCGCCACCACCACCACCACCGCCGCCGCCGCCGCCGCCGCCGCCGCCGCCACCCCACCCTCTACTATTAGCATTATTCCTACTACGATTATTGTTGTTCTCTTGCTGGAGCTCCACAGTCCTTGGTGATGTCGTGTTCGCCCAAGACCTTCCAGTACACTCCCAGGTCGCCGCCACTCTTGAGGTATGCAATGATGGCACGGCAAATGCCAATATCCTGGGTCGTCGTGAAAGAACTTAGATTACGTCACCACAGTAGGGAGATCTTATGGCCTGCTAGATACCCTAAACCCTACACCCAAAACCATATATTCCCCGTATTATGGTGACTCAGCTTAATTTCCTAAACAGCAACCCAGTATCCGCCGGCGTGGTATTGTTGTGCAACTTCTGGTGCCATTGTTCCTTGGCGCAGGTACTCCACGGTTGAGTGTTTAGGATTAAACGTTCTGGGTACCCCTCCCACAAAAATTACAACCCCAAATCCTACGTTCTGAGGTTTGAGCTAGGAGGGCCCTTAAGCACTTGGTCCTTCTATACCTCCTCTATATACACTGATATGGTGGATACTCGAAATCCTGCATGATCCTAACTACCTTATACCCTGGGAATTCTGGTACTATAGTATATTAAGGTCATGCAGGATTTTAGTATCAACAGTATCTCTACAGAACGAATCAATAAAATACAGTTAGGACCCAGCAAGCAAGTGTGTCCCAGCTCAAGGGCCCATGGTTTGGGCCCAAAACCCTAAATCCTAAACCCCAACCCATAAACCCTAAACCCTCAAGCCCACATAAACTTACCATTACTTAGGGTACTCAAATTTCCTTAAGTTTTGAATTTCAAAACTTCAAAAGTTAAAAACCAAAAATGGCCCCCCCAAACCCTAAGTAATGGCCTAAACCCTAAACCTCAACCCTTAACCCTAAAACCCTGAACCCTAAACCCTTTAGATAGGTGTCACAAGTTCTACTTATGGGCCCTCCGTCCTTTCAATGATCTGTGCAGCCCCGCGGCATAATAAGTTCCGTGGATCTCCTGGCGTGTTTAGGGTTTAGGGGAGCTCTTTGATGCTTAGCTGAAAGCTTAACTTTTACTCCCCTTCTTCTCAAATTTGGGATCCCAAAAGTGATAAAGTGCTGAGTTTTTTTTCGAAAAGTCTCACCGAAAACCCAGACAAGCAGATGCAAACGCTTATCCTAGAAGAAGAACAGGGATTTTAGCTACCCCAACCCCTACTGGAAGTGGTAATGTGATGAGTGCATGGATGCCTCCGCATACTCCCACATTTAAGTTCCCTAGCTCCTTGTAAAGGTCCTTACTCTTGTTGGTGTGGTGTTTGCATGCACTACCAGTGAAACCAGAAACCACCGCAAACACCCTGAACCCTCCACCGACCCCCAAGTCCTTGATGCCATGCGCGTGCATGATGACCTTTGCTAAAGAGAACCGACAATCTTTCTGGAGTCCAGGCTTTCTGCCATGTGATTAAGGATTTAGAGTTTAGGGTTTAGAGTCCAGGGATTAACTACCCAATCAATAGTACTGGGCTGATGTTGTCACAGCCCTTTTGGATTCATGTGTTGCTGCTTCAACTCCTTCGCGCTGCAACCTTGCAGCGTCAGCTGGCAAATCGCATGGCCCGCATCACTAGTTCATGGAAGTACGCGTAACAAAAAGTATATAGTCATATTACTAGTATCCAAGAGAGTAAAAATGAAATGAATAGTAGTAGCAATAATCGGAATAATGAAAATAACAATCATTCATCTAATGCTAATAATAATGATGCTGATAATAGTACTGAAATAATGAGAACAGTAGCAATTATGCTAATAATAAATCGCTCACCTCCTGGTGGCTTAATAAGTAACTCACCCTAAACCCTAAACCTTCAACCCTGCACCCTAAACCTCAAACCCTAAACCGTGCCTTTGCCTAAAGTCTTCGAGGTGCCAGGATCTCGTCACGGATCTGTTGCCCGGCTGAACCGCCACGGCCCATGGTGGACCTTACTGTTTTTTCTTTTTGTGGGTGTAGGGTTTGGGAATAAGGGAATATAAAATCCTACAAATCCCTATATAATCCCTATATAATATATGAAGGAATGTGACCCTATATATCCCTATATTTTACTATCAGGGAATAGAATCCACATATAGCCCCTATAATATATTCCCTTATTCCCTACTAACCCAAAACCCTAGACTCTGTACCATATGTTCTCTTATTCCCTACTGACCACCGGTAAGGGACAGAGTCCATCGGATCCAGAGTCGGCAGCTGGGTGTGGATTTCCAGAGCTCAGCCTTTCACTAGACTTACTTGGGGTTAGTAGGGGCTGAGGAATTATCTTATGTAGGGTTTAGGGTTCAGGGTTGGCAGGGAATGGGGGAACATACAGCTGAATATATAATACCGAACATACAAAACCGGGAGCATGTAGGGAGTATGTAGGGATTCTATTTCCTTATTCGTTATTCCCTACTAGCAGCCAGAAGTTAGATGGGGTTACCGTTGCCACTGCGGTGCTGCTTTGTCAGCAGGCTTTCATACACAAGAATGTTAGCACGACCATGATGAGGATGGTGATGATGATGATGATGATGAAGCCTAAACCCTAAACCTCAAGCCCTAAACCCTCAAATTTCAGAAGTCAGCACGCAAAAGCTTCAGGAAAGATATCCAACCGCGTAAGAATTTGCTTGGGAACCCACATGTTCAGCTGCCTCCCCCCCTCCCCACACACCCTCTTGTCCTGTTTAGAGGTCCCTGCAAGCATGACTTGTCGGGCTGTGTTGCGGAACTGCGCTTTGAGAATATCTTGTAATTCCCAGGGGACCCCAGTCAAGAACATCGGCTAGAATCCTTACTATAAGGACAGCCCAAACGATAGCCTAACTTTGGGAAAGCCTACATCTGCTGGCTGCGTCCAGGGAGCCAGGCGCTGGGTAATCTGGTTTGTAGTAGCCGCCAGCATTCCTTGAGACTTGAGACATGGTATGTTGCGTTGACCTAGCCAATAGGATGAAGTCTTGATGAGGGTTCATAGGGAACTTCTGAGGAACATGTCTGGTGCCCTCACATGTTTGCTTAAGTCTTGAGTGCGGATTCTGCCAAAAGAATACAACGAATGCAAGGGCTTCTGGCTTCTGGACCGGGTTCAGAGTTTGTCCCTGATCAGCCTTATTACAGGAAGGCACCTTGCGCTATCTTCAACTCAAGTTCTTCTGTACTTACTGGAGGTTAGTAGGGAATCAGGGAACATAATCCCTATATGATGTTCCCTTATTCTCTCTAACCACCAAGAAGTTGAAGGCTTAGACCGTTGGGAGCACGCTGCGCCAGGTTAGGCTGCTCAGAGACGTCAGTGCATTGGCATCCCTGTGGTGATGATGCTTTTCCTGCTCATATCGTCCTGATATTCCCTCATCCCCCTGAAGCATGAATATTTGGAGGTTTTAGGTTTTAGGGTTTAGCAGTAAGTACCATTGTCATCATGACAAGTACTGCGAGAAATGGTTGATGACGGTGTAAATTTGGTAGCCCAAAATGGTAGGAGCTTTAGCGGACACAGCCCTGCCTAAACTCTGAAGCCAACCTAAATTTCAAACCCTAGCCCCTAAACCCTGAATCCTACATCCCACACCCTCAATGCCAAGCCCCAACACCTGAATCTGAAGCCCTACACGCAAAATTGTCAACCCTAAGGCCTAAATTCCTATGTGCCACTGTCTAAACTCCTAGAACGCCCCCTAGATAGGCCCTAAAGTCCTCACCTGTTTAACCCCCTTTAAGGTGTTTAGACCCTAAACCCTAAACACTAAATCCTCAACCCTAAATCCTAAACCCTAAATCCTAAACCCTAAAATCCTAAACCCTAAAATCCTAAACCCTAAAATCCTAAACCCTAAAATCCTAAACCCTAAACCCTAATATCCTTTGAGCACTGTTGGGGGAGTCGAGGCTCTGGGCTGCGTGCAGGTATTCCGCTCCCAGGTGAGCAGCTGCTGGAAGGAGAGGCGTTGCCAAACAAAGATCCAACCTTATGTTAGGGTTTGGGCTTTAGGGTTTTAGGGTTTAGGGTTTGGGGGAGGGCTTTAGTTTTTTTTCTAAAGGTTTAGGGCTTTAAGGTTTTTAGGGCTTAGGGTTGAGGATGTAGGGATTAGGGATTAGAGCTTTTAGAGGTTCTTATTGGGTCGAGGGAATAGGAAAAGAAGATGTTGTTTGGGAGTTGGAGGGTGTGGTGATAAAAGCTTAAGGTTTACGAGTTCGAGTTTATGAACTAGACTTTAGGGTTGAAAAACTACAGTGTAGGGTGGAGGGCTTGGTTAAATTTAGAGTTTAGGGTATGATTTCTCCATCTACAGGAAGGTCTCCACCAATTGAAGAACCCAAATACAGACCTCAAATGCTGTAATCCTTTCCATGGGCAACCCAAAAGGATCCGCTAAACCCTAGACCCTAAACCCCCAATTTTTTGAAAACCCTATGTAGGGTTCAGGTATACAGAAACATGCAAAACGTTCTTCCGCAACAGCCCAAGCAACTCCAGAATTCCTCGTTGTTCCTTGGATTCAGACAGGGGCCTATGGTTTGGTCATGGGAACAAACTACAGCAGGATTTACAGTAGAGTATTTTGGCTCTTATAGGCCAGGAGAGGAATTAGAGGCTTTAGGATAATCTACTGTAAATTCTACTGTAAAGAGTTTTGTTGATTTGGGGCTGCAAGATTTTAGGGATTCGGGTACCTTATACCCTAGGAATTACAGTACATTAGGTGTCCTAAGTGGTGCAAGATTTTCTCCATCCACCGGTAGCAGCCCGTATTGGAGACATTATAATGATGCACTTGCGTGGACTTACCCTTGTCGGGTCATGAATGATCCCTACTTGCCAGTAGAGCCTGTAGTAACGATCTGGCCTCTGTTGGCTGAGAGAAAGGGGGTTCTTAATGCCATGACCCCTTTCTTGGTACCCTTGTTGGGGGGCCATTTTCATGCTAACCCTAGAAGTGACCATCATCTGGACAACCTGCCATCTATAGAGGGCCCGCAACTTTGCATATATATATATATCTATATTGAAGGTCGGTGCATACATACATACATCCCTCAGAATCGTAATGAGCTGGCTCTAGCTGACTTGAAGCCTGCTGGTTGTAAGCAGTGAATGAAGGAACAGAACAACTCATGGAAACAGGTGCATTGTCG